CCAGACATCTTTTTCGAAACTCGTAGTCGTAGCCGTAGTCGTACTCGTAGTCCTAGTAGTAGTAGTAGTAGTAGTAGTAGTAGTAGTAGTAGTAGTAGTAGTAGTCCGACAAGGGTCAAATGTCTTATTCCCTGGCGCGCTCCCCCTTGCGTCTGCCGGGGTCGGCGGATATATATGTATATATATATATATATATATGTATATATATATATACATACATGTTGGCGCCAACCCCCATGTTCGCCCACATCCAAATAACATAACACACCCAGTTTTTTGAGATCTGCTGAAGGAGAAGCGCCAGCAGTCAGATTTCCTGAAACTGAAAAACGCTGTGAGCCCAGAAAGACGCCACGCCTCATGGAAAAATCAGAATTGGATGATGGGAAAATCTACAAGAACCATCCAATTTGGGGCAAAAACCCATGGGTTTCCTCTAGATTTTCCCTTCCACCAATCCATTGACTGGTTATGTTGCTCTGGCTGCTGGTTCTCATCGTAAGCCAAGAGAAGGCAGCTAGCAAAACTGCTGAGAACACTTGATCTCACGGCAGATTGTTTACATTTCTTTGTATCGTTTGCGATGCTGCCAACACTGGAAGTTCAGTAGGCAGTGACTTTGTAAGACTGGCCAAGCACACGCATCACGATTCCTTTCCAACCTTTTTACAGCTAAGGCCATGAGTGGCAAAATTAAAGCCATGAAGCAGGACGGAACAACGAAATGGAATCACCTGCTCCATAGACCTTGAAGTAGTTTGATTCAAAGGTGATGACTTCATTTTGGGAACAGCTTGAAATCCCTGTCCACTTTCCACGGACGGTAGCAGAGGATTTGGAGAGCACCAAAAAAGCTTTGGCAGATGCGACCGCCACCAAGGCGCGACCTTTGTCAAAGTAGTCGACGCCAATGGCTGCAATTTCTTGGGAACCACAAGAATGTACCCAGTTGTTTTGCAAGGTGAAAACCAAACAAATCTTGGTAAAAACACATGTTTTATTACTGGGTTTATTTTTCATTGCCGGTGAAAACCAGTTGTTTTCCACGCAGCAACTGAATTTTTCCAACGACGGTGATATCGGAGGCGAATGCCGAAGGCGAGGTTGCAGTGTGCGAGCAGGACTGGGAATACCACATGTCAGTGGTTTGAAGTCCTGTTAGTGGATGATATATATATATATATGTATATATATATATACATATATATATATATGGGTTTGTCTGAAAATAGGATACCCCTAAATGAAGGCGCAGTATAACCATGGAATGATTTCAGGAACCTTGACAGTCGCTATTGAGAACATTGACAGAATATCTAGAACCATGAGTCGTAGTTACCAGATCACACAGCCGTGGATCCGGCGTACCTGAAAAATCTCTAAATCCACAGGTTTTCCCATTTGAGTTTCCCTATTGAGTTGTTATTTGGGAGGTACACCCATTTTCAGAAAAACGCCCATGTTGAAGGGGGCTACTTGTCAGACTTATCAATGCCTGGCACCTGGACAAGTATGGTTGAATGCTTGAAATTGACCATCAATTGATGGCATAATCTGGTCATCAAAGCACCTAGTGACTAATTATAAACACTGCTTGTCAAATGCAACGCCAAAGTTATGTATTGCCTAGTAAATGATGTTGTTGTTGCTGCGACTGGCCTTTGGAAATTGGATCTTTCTGTAGTTCTAACGCGCCACAGTATTTTTTGCGATATGACTCTGATATGACATGGATATGATGATTCATCAATGAGTGGAACCGAGTAGCCCATTTTCACACAAAGCCACACGAATTAGCAGTAAAACCGCAATGGCTGGTGTAGTGGTAAGGATGATTAACATCTTAGCAGACTCGGGTGCACGTTTTTATTGCGCGGTCCAGGTGGAGAGTGTTCCGGTAGATGGGCTGTGTAACATGTAGGTTGTGGGGATACCACAGCTTTTCACAACAAAGGTACCGGTAGCAGCACTGAAATTGATCAACAACAGCACGGTCTGTTTGGTCTGTTTGGTCTGGATCAGGACATCAAGACGGCTAAAGAGCGTTTGTCTCAGTCAGCCTTTATTTCGTGGCAGCGACTGAAATGCCTTTGTCTAAAAATGGATCCAATAATTGCAGTTCTGATGGGAACATCAGATTGTCTCATATTATTCATATTATCATATATTATCTCAACCATGGGAGATAAGGGGATAATATGGGATGGCAATCCATTCCTCGCAGTTACCAGGTTCCTTGTGCAAGTGGAACGCGGTTGCATGGAGAAGGCTGTGGCTCCTCCAGGGTGCGACTCACCGATAGCCTCAACTGCCAGTATGGCCATACATGGAATGCAAGGGCTAGACTCCTAGACTCTGGCCAGACTCAGAATTGGGTATGGATCAATACCTATGAAAATACCATATTTTTAGTGGGTTATTCACATCCATTTACCATCCCAGCTATTTTGATGTGAACTACAGGGGTTTCCATGGGTTTTGACACACTGCCAATTGATTGAAGCCATGGCAGGCTGGTCAGTTTCAGCAGCAGAAGAAGAACCGGGAAGATGAGGTCAAGGTGGGCTGCGTTCCACCGTTGGTTGATGATCAACCGTTTTTTTTTCTACCCAAATCTACCCAAGATCTTGGGAATTACCATTATCAATCATCACAATCATCAAAAAAATCATTGTTTACCAAGCATAATGGAATCATTTCTCGGGTTTGAACACCGAGCATCTGAGTATATAATAGTATATATGAGTCAAGACCTAATATCGTTTTATATAAATGGTTGAACCATGTTGAACCATGTAACTTCATGTATAGAATTCATGTATGGTGTATGTTGAAACCAGTGATATTTTGTTGGGCCAGCGATGTCTGGAATTTGGGGATGACTGCTCCTGCAGCCTCGATTTTGAGGCCATCATGGGAGCTTTGAAAGCTTTGAGAGGCGAAGCCGGGACATGAAGCACCCGGGAACAGGACGTGGGCATCATCAAGGCTCACTCGTTATGTCACAACGTTAAGGGAATGGAACCAAACACACACAAACACACAAACACGTGGGAATTCTATGGGATTCTTTGGTGGCAAACCTTTTGGAGATGCCTTTCTGTAGAGGTCACGACCAACTCCCTCTGTTTTCACACAAAGTTGAAGGTGTTATGACCTCCAAGCGGAGCAAACAGAGTGCCCTCAGCTTTTTGCAGTCCCTTGGCAAGGCTTTTTGGTTGAGTTTTCTGAGATGCAGGAGATGCTAATCACAAATGAACAGATTTTTCAAGGGGCTTAAACATGTTGTATAAAACCACCAAGCAGCAGGAGTATGTAAACAGATTTGCCCGATTCGCATTTCTTCTCAGTCAGTCCAATATCTTTGTGGTCATGTGACTGCTGAATCAATGGCAAGTCGAACATTGATGGCATATGAATCTCTTTTTTTCAGACACACACACACACTACAGACGTCAAGTTGGTGCGAAAGTTCCACTGACGTTCAATGACACCCGCCTCAGCCAAAACGATGTGTACTAAGACATGACTTGCAAAAGTGGTACAATGCGACGGTGCGGATGACAACTTACAAGCCTTTGGCGGATCAGATTCTGTAGCATGAGCTTTGGGTCCTTGAAGGCTTCTGAACTTAAGAGACTGAGTGAGTCAGCCGTTATTTGGAACCTGGATAAATGGCATTAAAACCCTTATTCCATTAAATCCCATTAAATCCCATTAAATCCCATTAAATCTAATCATTAAATCCCATTGTTTGGTTGATGGGTTTATGATTTTTGGAAATGGGAAACTGGACGGACTAAGCAGCTAGGAACCTGGCTTGGCTGGGTATCTACACTGAAACACCAGCTGAGGCTTTCATCTGGCAGATCCAAGGTGAGCGATGGGACTTTGGCCGTTTTATTGGTGATGTTTGCAAAGCAATAGGATCCACCATCCCCAAATTCAAAATTTTTACGAGCGGTATAAACCATGAAAATAGGGGGTGGTTTATTAATGCCTTACTAACATGACAAACCAATTGTTCATTGGATTGATTGGGAAAATCGACACCGGAAACCATGGGTTTTTACCATTGAAGATGGGGTTTCCGGTTAACATTTTCCCATCAATCCAAGGACTTCGATGAATCGGCCAGGAACTACATCACTTGGCTTTGCGGAAGGTGCAGCAGCTTGCTGTGGCAATGCAGTTGGGCCGCTCAGAGCCCGTGTCTTTTCAAAAATGGGGCATACCTCAAACATCCTCAAAATTTGATTGTCTACGGATGATTTGTGAGCAAAAAACATGAGGTTTATATACAGAATACCATAGAATACCGGTATACCTAACATTTTGGGGTAAATCCATTGGTTGAATTTTACGAGCAAGCACGACTTTGACACTTTTTGTGTCCTAAAAGACTTGCAAATGTGGTCAGTGCTGACTTTGGAACTTTGCCCAGGTCACCAGTCGGCAGCCTCAAAGCTCAAGTGGATTGGTTTGATCGGGATCCTTTTTTCTAAAACATAGTACCCTCTGGTAATTTAACATAGCTATGGAAAATCACCATTTTTAATGGGAAAACTCACTATAAATGGCCATTTTCAATAGCTATGTTAGTTTACCAGAGGGTATGTTCAACAGGTCTTCTGTTGACCGTTTCCGAATTGCCTTTAACTCATTCCGTGAATCATAGGGTTTTCTGAAAATCATTCAGTTGCTACTGTAAGACAAGATTTTGCGGGAGAGAGCAGAGGCAGAATACTTCCAGTTGGGGCTGTGGTGCTGGAGTCATCTCTCCATTCCATTTGGTTTCCCATCTGGAAACAAAAACCAATCATGACCCACATTTGACTACTGGAATACTGCCAAAAAAGAAGTAGTTGGGGCCAGTGGTCAGTGTATGGGTGAATGGGTTATATAATATATATATCATACCGCAGCTACAGGGGATTGTAATTAATCTTAGTTTAGTTCTCTAGCCATCTTTAGCCACCAACTCATAGTATCCGCTGAAGGCATTGAATCAGCTGGCTTCGAAGATGACTGCGCTTGCGCGTTACGGCCTGGGCTGGGACCATGTGAGCCCTTTGTAGCCTTTGCATCCGACTGATGCACTTACCAGCAGTAGAACTCATGATCTAATTCCATACAATACCAAACATCATCTTTGGGCTACCAATCCCAGAAGAACTGCTTTGAGGTAGATAAAATTAGATAAACAGGTTGAGAAACCACCAAAACTTGAATGTGAAAACCAGGGATGTTTGTCACTCTCCAACCACGGGCGCAAGGTGGTGAGGATGTCTTTGTCAAGATGCGGAAACTGATCCAGGAGACCTTGGCAGAGGTTGACAAGCTTCATGATTGGTAGATTACAGTACAGTACTGGTACAAAGTTGAAGGTGTTCATTCATTGGCACACATTGTATACATATCACATACATATATATATATATATATTTGTATGCATACACATAATCAATACACACACACACATATATATATAAACGTGTCTATTTCTGTATATATATATGTTTCTGTGTTTGCGCAAATGTAGATGCCCTTATCCCAACAGGGAAGGGAAAGACTTAAAGAATAGCAGGATCTCCAAAAGGAAACAGCCATATTCAGTTGATCCCCAACCAAGCCATCTACTTTGAGTTCAAGTCGAATCTGAAATTGCTTTGATGTGTGGTCGTTGTGCACTTCAGCTGTGGTTATTGTACACTTCAGCTTCCTCAGATTACCAACAAGAAAGCTCGGTTGAACTTCCAGCAACTAAGCGACCCTAAGCCTACTTTGTGACCATGGAATGTTTGTTGATCAGCTTGGACCTTCCAGCGCAACTTGGTTCTCAGCTCAGTGCTAGTGCCCCAAACAGCAGCCCTTCCGCGATCTCCAGCATGGCCGCAGAGAGCAAAGTGGAGCAGTTCACCCTGCAGCGCAAGGTGGCAGTGGCAGGCTGGAAACAAGTGGTGGGGGTGGATGGGAACCCTGATTTTGAAGAATCCCTGGATTTGTAAATGGAGAGTTTTCTTGGCAAGGGACGCCTGTTTCTGTGCAGAGTGCAGTTTTTTCTCCGGCTCCTGATTTGTGACATGCTCTGCCGATTGAAGCGTAGTTTCATTTTTCACAACCAACCTGGGAGGATACAGGTGCATCAAGCATAGATATACCACATATATATATACTGTATATATATATATATATCCAGATATTGCATGCACCTTTGCATATTTCATTAATTGTTTCTTTATACATATTTGCTTTACTTATCTATTTGTAAATCCGAAAATAGCTAGCAGAGCATTTGACGGAACTTCTGCCACCTGGCAGGCGTCATTCTACTGACGTGTACGACAGCCTTGGATGTGGCTCGGCGATGGCGTAAAAAAGGGCAACAGCTCCCTTCTCCTCCAGGCGGTTTTTTTGGGTTCTCGATGGTTCTCGATTCAGTCTAATGATTCTAATGGCATGGCCGAAAAACACTTCCTGTGGTTTCTCCGGGAGGCTATTGGCCCGTCCTCGGGCATTTCGTGACCTGCATGCGATATTGCTGGGATAACACCAGCCTCGCCCTTGCTCGATGGGGAGTGGATCTGTACCGAACCGAAGGAACCATAGCAGACAAATGTGGCCCAATGTGGCAACTATTGAATCAAGGGATTGAGGGAAAACTTACAGGAAATCATTGTTCTCATCCCCAAAGAGGTTTCCTCTGAATTTCCCCACCGACCAATCTGATCTTTCTGCGTGAGTCTGCTGCGTCCGAATCTCCTCGTCAGTGTTGGTATTGTTATCAGGGTCGCACAGTGTCGATGACCGTAGTTTCTTCTTGAGCCATTGATGGGGTCTGTCTGAACCTATGAACCTTTCATAAAGTTGGTTACCCTCTGGTAAACTAACATAACTATGGAAAATCACCATTTTTAATGGGAAAATCCACTATAAATAGCCATTTTCAATAGCTATGTTAGTCATTACCAGAGGGTACCTCATTTTCAGAGACATCTCGTGTCAGGACTGACCATTTATCGAGCGAACTTTCTGGGCCACGAGATTGTTTGCATCGCCGACCCCGATTTGGTGCAGGAGGTTTTTGAACAAGATCCACACAGGTGCCACAGTGGAGGTTTTTCTTTGGTGGCACTGCTGAACTGTTCCCCACCTGCCAGGTGAGGGTCTCTGGATTTTGACAAAGGTGCAACTCCTCCTCCTCATCTACTTCTCTGCCAGCTCATCGTGACTGTGGGCACCAATGGACCCAAGCCGTACCAGCTCCGGATGCAGTGGGCCACACCTGGACCCGAACAAATGCCAGACAGAATGCCAGATAGAATGCCTGAAAAGATGCCAGATAGAATGCCAGATAGAATGCCAGATAGCCTGTCAGAATAGATGCCAGAAAGAATGTCAGAGTATATGCCAGAAAGAATGTCAGACAGAATGTCAGAATATATACCTATATATATATATGCCATATACACTTCCAGATGGTATGTCAGAAACTATGTCAGAATAGTGTGTCAGGGTGGGGATCACTCGAAGAAAGTATTTTTCTTCCTAGAAAAGTATGAAGAAAAGTAGTGGACACCAACTAGCAATCCGACTTCAGACATTTCACAGGTTCCAGTGGTTGTGAGATTGAACAAGAGCACACTGAGTACCCTCTGGAAATTTAACAGTTCGCTATTGAAAATACCCCATTTATAGTTGATTTACCTGTTCAAAATGGTGATTTTCTATAGTTATGTTAGTTTACCAGAGGCTACATGTTGATTTCTCCCCAAGGGTAGCTTCCTCTTGGATGGCGCTGAAGTGGCAATGCTTGTTGGACGGTCGTCCAGTTTGTAGACAGTGAATAAGCATGGGTATATGGGTATAGAAGTCATAACATGTTGTACAGCAACCTGACATTTGTATAAACAATATAATATAATATAATATAATACAATATAATATAATATAACATAATATAATATAACATAATATGATATAACATAGTATAATATACTATAATACAATATAACATAATATAATATAATATAATATAATATAATATAGTATAATAATACTATATATACATACATACATATGCAATTATACACATATATATATACACATACACATGCATATACGTTATTTGAAACATGTATGTTATATATTTTTGTATATACGATAGAAGATGGGATAACTGCCACCTTGAGACGCTTCCCATTCGAACTTCGTGGTATGGTGAGGTTCACCAAAGACTTCGCGAACGCACCGCTCGGTGGCGATCTGTTAGAGCAGCTGGGTTGGGTCCCCGACGGAACCGAAAGGAGGCTTAGTTCGCTGGGAAAATCTTACGAAAATATGGGAAACATATGGGAATTTACCATAATTTACCTATAATAATGGGGGTTGAATGGGAAAATGAATCTATAAAGATAGGATGATCCAGAAAACCATAACTAATAATGTTTGATCACTTCTGAGGGTGTATATATTTATTCAACTTTGTTTCTATTTTAGGGAGGGATGTTGGTCCATCGATATTTATCGTTCCTTCCCTCAACTCATGGTGGTTCATGGAGAATCTTTTTTTCGGACCTGAAGTAGCTGAAATGACTGACCAGTTGGCCCAGAAATTTGACGGCCTCATAATCTGGTCTACTAGTACTATTTATTACTAATCATTCAAAAGATATACATGTAACAATGTAAGTTGAGTGGGACTCTCCTGGTGAGACTTGGGAGCCTTGAGCAATTCTACGATTCAAGTATCATCATCAGCGGTGAAACCTTCGCTTTTCATTCAGCGAAGCGCGTCTCCCACGCCAAGGTATTCCTTCAAAGATGGTCTCTTTACGGCCGCTACGGACGATCCCAAGTGGCAAGTGGCGCACAGAGTTCTCATCCAGCCCTTTTCCGTGCTAGGTCGGGAAGTGCTTCTTTAATTCTTTTCGGGGTTCCGAAGTAGAACTTGAAAGGATCGAATGCGTGAAAGCTTGATGGCATGAAAAGAGAACCTAGGACCTAGGAGAGTTTGCAGATTTCGAACCATTGTTAATAGGATTGACATGGATTGACCATTATTAACCATTGTTTGGATTTACCAATTAATGGATTCTGCTTTGTTAAATAGCTGTGACCGGCTAATAGACCAATCGAATCAGATCACCCCATCAGACCGCCAGGTGTTCGTGGAATTATGCCCCTGATGTGCGATCAAGCTGACCAGTTGATCAAGGCCATGAAGCGTGACGTTGGCTACGGAAATTCCACGTACATTGAGCCTTGCCACAGAATGCCAGGTCGAAGCAACGGAATGGGTCGAAGCCTCTAACGAAAAAGCTAGCAATGGCAACATGTGAAAACTTGCAGGTGATCGCAGATTAGTGACAAGGAGATCCCATCAATTTTTTTCTCTCCGACAGATGGCTCTTTTGGATTAGTTATACTTCCCTGCGCACCTCTGTGCAAGGGCATGAACCCGTCATCATAGTCTTCAAACAACAGAAGTGAAACAAGTGTTACTGGCGACCTTTCCATATTTGTGTACCATTTTCTCCGTGATTTTGTCGATGACCCAAGCAGGGAACCATGGTGAGACCATCCCCTTATTCCCAAGCAATCATCAACCACTTGTCAAAAAATGGTCAAGCCGCCAATCGTCCAAGATATTCGGGTAAATTCATGCATGGTTTCCCGCACATTTTCCCAGACATCAATCCATGGCCGTTGGGGTTTCTGAGACCCAAGGACACCTGGGTCACCAAGATGGCTTTTGAGACGATCGCCGTGTGTGGCCTGGGAACGTCCCTTGGAATTTCAACTGACCATCATTTTTGTAGTTTTGGAGCCTTGAAAAAGGGAGTTGCCCGGCCAATCTTCAGGTCCTTTGGTTGCTTTGAAGATGACCAGACGCATCCCTTCGTGACAGCTCTCAACCAGGCACCACACAAACACACACGCATACACATGCACTCATACCAAAGTATGCCTACATATGCATATATTCAGGATAGATTTGGGACCTTAAGAATGTACGTGCAATACGATGCATATACATATATCGTCCATACATTATACATATATATATATATGTACATATCTACATACAACATGACGCACATACATATATAAATATATGTATACATGTATATATATATATATGTATATATGTATGTATTAAGTATGTATGTATGTATGTATGTAGGTAGGTAGGTAGGTAGGTATGTAGGTATGTATGTAATGTATGTAATGTATGTAATGTATGTAATGTATGTAATGTATGTAATGTATGTAATGTATGTATGTAATGTAATGTGATGTGATGTGATGTGATGTGATGTGATGTGATGTAATGTAATGTAAGGTAAGGTAAGTATGTATGTATGTATGTATGTATGTATGTATGTATGTATGTATGTATGTATGTATGTATGTATGTATGTATGTATGTATGTATGTATGTATGTATGTATGTATGTATGTATGTATGTATGTATATATATGTGTATATATATATGTATATATATAATATATATATATATGTATATACATATGTACACACCAGACCTGCGACTTAGGATCTATGACGCCCACCTTACTTTTCGATCCCTTCCAGGTGGTGGAGTCATTGGATCCCTTGGGACGTTGGCCATCCTTTCTGCGGCCCATCTTCTGTCGGAAACTGCTGAAGTCCTACATTGAGAGCGCCGGCCGCGGCTCAGCCGTTGAGACATCGCGGGTCCATTGTGGAAACTGGAAACGACTCAGCCGGATGCGAAAATCTTGTGATGTCGTGAAGATGTCATTTTTTTCCTGAGCTGATCTGCATGAAGATTCTTTTCTTTTGCACCAAAGATGCAATATCAGATTCATCTGGATTTTGAAAACTAGCACGTTGCTGCAGACGAAGAGGCCATTACCAACAATTTTAATCATGATCATACTGATCTCATCGTAGTCAGAAAGTGAGTTTGCGGAATCACATCCATTTTGTTCCACCTGTAACTTGACCTCATGAGACTTTATGGAATTTCCTGTTGACCAAACGGTGGGAGGGGATGGCTTGGACAACTTATGGGTTTTACCCATGCTTTTGGGCACTGCTCAAGGTTAGTGCCGTACTTTTGATGTGTTTTGCGCATTGAGGTTTGCGCCAGACTTGCTTGGAGATTCTTCGCAAGCGAAAGAGTGAAGAGCAGAAGGATCTAAACAAGGCGGGCATTTGTCTGGTCGACTTTGATCAGATAGAAACAGCTAAAACATCAAACATTGGAACATAAGGCAAACGCAAACTCAAAGTTTTTCTGCTAAAACCTTCCTGTCTGGGATCTTAAAACAGTTCCCTTTGCGTGTGGCCACTTTGGGCTATGCTGTTTCGACAGGATCTTTTGGACAGGATGTTGTTGGACGCTGATCCCAAGACAGGACAGACCATGTGGCTTGGTGGAACTCGGATCCAAGGGCATCCTTTCACCATCCGGGTAAACTAACATCAAGATGGAAAACCCATGGTTTCCAAAAATGACGTAGAAATGGTGGGGGTAAACGAATACCTTTCCATTCCCCGGGAGAGTGGAAATTGCCTTGGCCACTCCCAGCGCAATTTCCCCCAAAGATTCTTTTCTAAGATCCCATCAAGATGGTTTCATCTAAGATGAGTAGGCCCCCCCCCAAAAAAACATGGGTTTTGATCCAGATTTTTTCCCCAGATGGAAAAAATTAACCTCAAGACTAGGGTCTTGGCGCCATTGAGGTGCGAAGACTCCATCGTTGACAATCTCCTGACCTTCCTTTTCGCCGGTCAGGACTCCACGGCCGCGGCGATGGCTTCATGTCTTTGCTTCCTCTGCTCCAACCCTGGCTGCAAGGACACCGAACGGCTGCTGGGAATTTCGTTTTTTTTTAGGGGTCAAAATCTGGGTGGTTCATGCCATAGTTGCCATCTAGATTTGTCCAAAAAATTGCAAGGCAGCAAAAACCAAGGAAAGACTGTGATTGTGGTAGGTTTACCAAGTTATGTGCCCCATTAGTTTCAGTGCATCGTATAGCGGAGAAGTCCACTTCAGGAGCGGTTGCTACGCGAGATCGACGAGGTGGTGGGAGATGAAGCAGTGAGCTATGAACATTTGAGCCAACTCCAGTTCCTTGGAAGCACCATGAGGGGATCTGCATTTTCACCAGAGGATTGATTTTTTTTGTCTCTCACGGTGTGTATATATATATGAATAATTATATATGATATACTTATACTTATAATTATGTATATATATATATATAAAAATGTTGTGTTCTTTTCAAACATATGTATATATATAATATATCAATGTATATATATATATGTATATATATATATACTACTACATATATATATATTAATATACATATAATATATATATATATTAATATATATATATATATACATTACTATATTACTGTATATATATATATATTGTACTAATATATATATATATAACACTATAATGTATATATATATATATACACATGTATATATATATATATATACACATGTATATATATATACACATATTTATATATACATATATTACACTATAATAAATAAATAAATATATATACACATATTACACTATAATATATATATATATTACACTATAATATATATATATATATTCATATTACACCATATTTTTTTTTGTACATGTATTACATTTTAATATATATATACTATATATATATATTACTATATATATATTACTATACTATATATGTATATATTACTATATATGTATATATTACTATATATATATTACTATATATATATTACTATATATATATATATATTACGCTATATATATAGATTACCCTATATATATATATTACTATATATATATGTATTACTATATATATACACTACTATACATATATATATATAAATACAATGTATATATATATAGAGTTATATGTATGTATATATATATATATGTATATGTAGTAGTTTATATCAGTTTACCAGAAGGATCTCAGACAAAACCCTGGTATCCCGATTGCTCATTGCATGCTGTGACTGCACCGGTCGGCTCCAACTGGCCTTGCCTTTTGCATGGTATTCGGTACCCCCAGAATGATGCAAATGAAAACTGTCTGGGTCATTTCAGTTCTTTGAAATGATGGTCCCAATTGACCTTTCAAAACAGATTTGCTGGATGGCTTGAAATCTCCAGAAAAACACCTGGCATCACCTTCGAAGTCAGAAATCGCCCGAAAATTCATCAGTCATCTGAAGTCGGAGTCACCAGGTACTTGGACTGGTGCATTAAAGAAACGCTGCGTTTGATGCCACCGGCCGCGGGTGCATTGCGGGACTCCACCTGTGAGCAGGTCCTGGGGGGTTGGCACATTCCCGCCAAGGCAGGGTGATATTTTGGTGGATTTTCTGTTTTTTTTCTTGATATCTGCAGAGTTTCTGATATATCTGCAGAGTTCCCCGACTTTGGAGAATTGAGTCGTCTCCGGAGCTTTGTTGCCGTACCAACGTAGCGAAGTTCTTGTCATGTCAGTCTTGCTGACGTTGGAAAGGCAGCGATCGTGGTGAACACCATGACATTGCACTATCGCTCCTTGGGATGAATTGATATACCCCAAATACAAAATTCATTGGTTAATCATCACAATGGGAATGGGTCAACCACCAAAAAATGGATGGTTTAGTTTCATACTCAACACACTAAAAGCCTTTTGTGGGTTACATATATATATGTATATATATATATATGTATATATATATATATGTATATGGTTTTATTGGTGCCCCAGTAACTGGCCCCATGTCCGAATCCATCCCCACAGATCCTCTTTTCGAAAGGAGCAGATCTCTGGGGAGCAGATGTGGACCAGTTCAAACCTGAGCGATGGGAGCATCTGGGCGACCAAGGGAGCCAAGGGAGGCAAGGGAGCCAATGGAGCCATGATCATAGTAGCCTCCCAGCGTTGGAAAAACTCACATCTAGAAACCGTAGATTTTTTTTAGTGGGACTTTAGACTTTTCAAACACCTTTTTGGGGGATTCACTGGACATCTTTGGTTTCTATCTCCCCTGAATTTTCGTATCCCATCTGTTGAGGAAAGGCCTGCCTCATAAGTTTGCGTTTATGCCGTTCTCGCACGGACCTCGCGCTTGCATTGGTCGAGAGTTTACCTTGCTTGAGCAGAAGGTGACTCTGGTGCCGCTGGCATTTTCAGGAAGCGACATTTTGGGAGTGGTGGTGAGCTGCTAGAAATGGGAATGGCTCAGAAGTACAAACACAAATACAAACAAAATCCAAATTTTGCAGGTCCATTGGGACCCCATTTTTGAGCTCCGCATCAAGGGCAGCTCGACCACGGCCAGCTGTTGCCAGGTGAAGTTCTTCCAGAACTTTGATATCGAACAAGCGCCTGCGGAAGAGGTGAGAAAGTTGCAGCTTCAAAGCACGTTTTTTTTTTTCTCGCATCAAACATGCTTGGTACGCAGTCTCCAGTGGTGGCTTCTCCAAATGCTGGAGAGTGAAAGACTATAGGTACCTCAAGAACTACGTGTATGATATGTATGATATATATATATAATTATATATGATCCTGACACTGTCTTTTGCATGCAATTTCACGAAGTGATGCAAGCTTGCGCTGCAAACCTAGACCTCTGGCCTTCAACAAAACTGCAACGAATTTCTGCCACTGATTCACCGATTCACCTGTGCAGACGGCTGGATACGCAACTTTGAAAGCAGATGGTCGAAGTCCACCTTTCCTGAAGTTCGATACGCAACTTGTCGATCCTGATCCAGCTGGTGTTCTTGTGTGGAGACAGCCACAGAGTTGTTTCTAGATGTGTTGTGCCTTGAGCTTCAGGCGAGACATTCTTAGGTCTTGTCAGGCATCGGATAGAGCTTTGCAAGTTATCCTGCACTGACATTGAATACATTGAATACATACTTCAAACATTCTTCAAACGCTTTTGAAACAAGTGCCATGAGTTGACTCCGGCAGTGGCTCAGGCAAGTGAAACGGGACTGGGTGCAGCTAAGGGCTTTCGGGTTTGTAGCATAATTCGCCTAGGCCACCATGGATTCCAATGGATCTGCGCTACGAATGTTTACGGCATCACATGTCGATGCAAGCGCATAGTCGATGTTGATTTGGGTATGGCAATTATGGGAAAACCATTTGTAGAGCGCCTTCGAACCATTTGGATCCATTCGGACTCTTCATGTGTGAACTTGATCAACATGACATCCTGCAGGACAGCGCCTTCTTGGGCCTCTATACCAACTTCAAACTTCTCCCACGCACACGTGCGAAGGTCGGATTTTTTGGTTATTGGGAATGGGCAGCACCTCCAAGAAACAGCAATTTGTGATGAAAGATGGGCAGCTTGAGTTTAGGTTTATTGAATTTTCTTGATGTGATCCAGAGTTTCAGCGGGCCTTTGGACCCAGGATGCTGTGGCAAGTCATTGAGCATTGAGTTGTGGAAAACGGGCGCGAAAGGGTCGTTGCAAAGTGGCCTTTTGGGTACAAAAACTGCCGGCTTGGCGGTGCAGAAGGTCAACTTCCGTGACGACATTTATATTTAAAGAGGTCCTGCTGACTTACAGTCAGTCCATTTCCTGTGATTGGAGAACTGTGCATTTTTCATCTCGGGTCCGAGATTTTCGAATGAGTTTTGATGTTTTCAGCTCTTTTCCCATGACTAATCTGAAGTGAAGTCCATAGCTGCTGCAGCTCCAGGGCAGGACAAGGAGCTCCAAATGCAGGAGGATCTGGACAGTAGGCCTTCGTTTGGCAGTGCTTTGCAGCGCCTTTTTGTACAGAACGCTGCGTTTGGCGCCCACTGCACTTCGATGCATAATTCATTTGTCAAGATAGGGTCAGGCAGAGCTCAAGTCTCAGCGCTAGTGCCTGATGATCAAAACTGCAGCTGCCCTGCGGAGCGCAACTTTTGGGAGTTGAACCATCATCATCATCATCATCATCATCATCATCATCGTCATCGTCATCGTCATCGTCATCGTCATCGTCATCGTCACCGTCACCGTCACCGTCACTTTCACCGTCACCGTCATCGTCTTCGTCGTCATCGTCATCGCCTTCATTGTCGTCATCGTCGTCATCATCATCGTCATCATCATCGTCATCATCATCATCATAATAATAATAATCATCATCATCGTCATCGTCATCGTCATCGTCATCGTCGTCATCGTCGTCATCATCATCATCATCGTCATCGTCATCGTCATCTTCATCGTCATCGTCACCGTCACCGTCACCGTCACTTTCACCGTCACCGTCATCGTCTTCGTCGTCATCGTCATCGCCTTCATTGTCGTCATCGTCGTCATCATCATCGTCATCATCATCGTCATCATCATCATCATAATAATAATAATCATCATCATCGTCATCGTCATCGTCATCGTCATCGTCGTCATCGTCGTCATCATCATCATCATCGTCATCGTCATCGTCATCTTCATCGTCATCGTCACCGTCACCGTCACCGTCACTTTCACCGTCACCGTCATCGTCTTCGTCGTCGTCGTCATCGCCTTCCGTCATCATGTCATCGTCATCATAATCATCATCATCACATCATCATCACCGTCGTCATCATCATCATCATCATCGTCGTCATCGTCACCGTCATCGTCTTCGTCATCATCGTCATCGTCATCGTCATCGTCATCGCCGTCATTGTCGTCATCGTCAATCATCATCATCATCATCATCATCATCATCATCATCATCATCATCATCATCATCGTCACTGCGTCGTCTTCGTCACCGTCATCGTCTTCGTCGTCATCGTCAGCGTCATCGTCATCGTCATCGTCATCGTCGTCGTCGTCGTCATCATCATCATCATCATCGTCATCGTCATCGCCATCATCATCGTCATCGTCATT